GGTTGGTGTGTTTGCTTTTGTTTGTTGATTTTTTTAAAAATTTGGGGTTGTTTTTAAAAAAAATATTATGACACCCTGTTGTAGGGCTGAGACAAAACTGTCACCGGCGTTGGTTGCGATTTAGTATTTAGGCACCAATCATCATCATCATCCAGTGCGACCAGATCTGTGACAGATATCTGCGATCATGGTTCTCCATTTATTCCTTTGCTCGGATGCTCATAAAAAAAGCTGATTTTTCCCCGTTACACATTTGTTTAGGCTCCCTACGTAGGTTACTCTGGGCCAACTCACTCCTGCCTCGTTTGCCTTCAATTTTGCCAGAGAGAGCTAGATGTTTAAGACCTTTATGTCTATTCAGGTGTCCCAAAAACTGCATTTGTCGATTCCTGATTGTTTTTAGCAGCGAGTGTCCCCCACACGGGTTCATCAAGCACTACCTCATTTGATTTCTTTTCCTTCCACGATATTCTCAGCGGTCTTCTAAGAAACCACAAGTCTGTTGCTTGTATTTTATTTTCACTGTCTTTAGTGATTGTCTAGCATTCACAGCCATATAGAAGGGTTGACCATACATAGCATTTCAGAACTTTCACACAAAAATACATTAAAAAGAAAAGAAAAAAGAGTGAAACATAGAATAAGTGTAGATCTACACACGGAATAGGAGGCACGAACTGCAACATACGAGCACATCAACACAGTAAGAGGTCAATTGTAAGGTGCGCTGACAAAATTAGTCACTTCTCGTAATACCCAAAAGGAGAAATTGGCCAAAAATCAACACTAACGTCAAATTTGTAGATTTTCTAATGATGCCATCTTCTTTAAATATAACATGCCTTTAATCCAGATCTAGATATAATATAGATCTATAGTCTATACATATTAAATTATATTTGTGAAAGTTCGTCACTTTGGCACCTAGAATCTATAACTTCCCAACCACTGAACTTTCGAAATTGACAACATTTAAGGAGGTTCAGAATCATTTAAAGGGTGCACAGTTATAATATGGAGTCTGAAGTCACTGTAGTTTAATTTTCAGTTTTTCATTAGTTTCTTTAAATCTAATCTTGGGAACGTTTTGTCTTCTTAGACGCCATTGTAAACAAGTGAGAGTTCCGTTCACAAACAGTGCATACTGGTTCCACAATGACTTGACGCTCGGAGTCCGTTCATCGAACGGGGTACCCAGCTCGTTATTTCCATAGAT